AATTGTGCGCCACAAGATCTCTGACAATATCGGAGATGGCATACAGAACTGTTCTGCATTCCGTCGTCGTGTTGATGGAGCCGTGGAGCCCCGCCCACCGTTCGGCGCTCTCAGTTTCCTTGCCGGTACAGCTTCTCCGCCCAAGAGTTAGGGTTTCGACCGCCGCTCCTTTCCTTCGCTGCTCACGCAGTGATATTCCCTCCCCGGCCTTTCCTCAAGATGAACAAGGCCCACCGCAGGAGGCTGTGCTCAAGGCCATCTCCGGTCAGTGCTCTTCATAATCATTTCCGATCAATGCTTGAATATCATTCGTGGCATTTCATAAATCTGTCATTGTGGTGTAATTGCCCAGATATGGCTTTTATCAATTTTATTATTGCAATGTCATGCTAGTTTTTTCGTTGTTTCTCTTGCTTCTTGCTTGAATTTGGAGTCATCGATAAGAAAGGCAATGCTGAGAAAAAAAACCCATAGATGCTTGCAATGGGAAGGAACAATGCCATCATATTTTTCCTAATTGATTCCAAATTCCGAAGAAGGCTTTGAATTTAATTTTTTCAAGATAATCTGCTTTGTTCGGACAAGCAGAAGTAGCGTCTTAATAGATTGCTACTATAAGAAAATGTGGATGTTATCAGTTTATTTATTCATCTATCAAAAGTCGGAGTGGATCAATTACAGGACATCTGAAGCTGATGTTTTCCAATAATTAAAATTATTAAATTCGGCACTTTTTTGCATCTGTCCCCACTCCCCTGGTAATTTGAGTGGACTAATCGATTTGACTCTTGGATATAAGAAGTTATTTCTTAGTGGAATGTGAGAGAATCAACTGCTGAAGGATTTCGTGGTCTTCATTACATAAAACAATAGTAGGGAAGGAATGCTTAAGTTTAGTTTATTAAAGACAATTTTAGGGCTTCATTTGATAGAGGATCACTTAGCATCACACAAATTATGCATGACCCAATTGTAACTTGAACAGATTTCCTGTTTGGGTGTTTCACATTCAAAAAGTTCCATGAAATCTTTTGGTCTTTTAGCATAAATTTGATAATTTTGACTAATATGGTTTAAGATACTCATATGAGTCTTCTGCTACTGTTTTGAACCTAACTAACTTTTTGATATTTTATATTGTTTTTGACAAACTTTTTGCTAAATATCCTAGAATTAGCTAAGTTGACTTAGTCTTGGACCCCACTAAGACCAGGCTAA